ATCTATCTATCTATCTATCTATCTATCTATCTATCTATCTATCTATCTATCTATCTATCATCTATCTAATGCCATTTTTAATGTCTTAATAAATCCAACAATATTTCTATATAATACAAAAGAGAACAAGCAAGAAAGATATTCTTGAAAATAAAAGCCAAACAGAGAGGAAATTATTTTATTTATATGTTTGGATTATTTTTTTCTACCATATATGCAGACAGGCTAATGAACTCTTGACTGATTGATCTCTAAGGTTTTAAGACTGGATTTACTTTTTCTGATTTCAACTAAATCCTTAGATTGCGGCGATGAAAATGCCATAATTTTTTGCATGTGAAATATATGGAAACTTTTAATTTTATCACTTCACAGCAAAGAATTGGGGATCTCTAGCTTTCTAGATGTTGCTGAACTAATTTTCAGCATCTTAGCTGTGCTATCTCTGTAACTTATAATTTAGCTATAATAATTTCTGCATAATTTCTATCTACAATTAGATGAGAATGTATACTATAATGACATAATTTTCTGCTTTAAGCATCAGTCTTGAACATATTTTCTAGGGATTGAGCTTTGTTGGACATCATGGAGTTTAATACTGAATTAAGATACATAAAACTACTCCATAAGTAGAGCTGCAATTCTGTACATATCTGGAGCAAGTCCTATAGAATCAACTGAGAGCATTGTCTGATTGGATATGCATATGATTATTTGCTCAGTTCCATGATACAATAGATTTCTCAATTCACTAGTGGTGAATCCTTCTGAAGAGAATACTGATGAGTTGACCTAAAACACTGGAAATTTGATTTTTGGTGATAACAGAAAGATCTTACAACCTGAGGGGTTGGTTGTTTTGGCAGCTCTTGGCTACTTATGAATTTGGCTGTTTAACAAATCAATTTAAATCCTTAAGTATCTTTTCCATTGTGCATGAGATTCTTCTGTATCTGGTTATGCTATGTGGTGATTGGTCATGATATCCCTGACTGAGCCAAAGAGAATACACCAAACACCCCTTTCTGTAGCATGCTGCCTCTTGTTTTAGAAGACATGCTAATCCCTCTGAAAGAGGACTGCGGTATTCATTTGAGGGGTCCTTGGTGCTCTCTAAAGTTGGTGGTTTTCTTTCTTTTTTTGTACTAAGATTTTATTTTATTTTATAGCATACAAAAATTCCAATTTCAATTGAACAGTGTGTTGTCTGGGTACAAGTCATTTTAGGAAATAATAATTAAAGTGTTCACAACAATATTCCTGTGTTAATATCAATTATATGATAATGATAATCACAATATTTGTTTAACCAAGTTAACACATCTTCCTTATATCACAAATGTGAGAGCGTGCGCTGCCTTCTGCCCATGCACAGTGCTTGTGCACTACGTTGGGGTAGGTGGGTGGAGCCTCCCGCAGCCACCGCTACCGGTTCACCTGAACTGGAGAAAACCAACTGAATACCACCTCTGATATGTAAGAGGTCAGTTTTTCAGTCAGTTTTCCGTGCGGCACAGGGAACAAAATAAAGCTCAACTCAGACTTCAGTATCTAATGGTACACGGATACTGAAGTATTTCTCAGGTAAGATTGACTATTTCCTTTCAACATAGATGGAGTTGAAAGAGGTTAGGGCTTAACACTTTGTATCATGGTGGTTGAGTTCTCACAATATACTCTATCAGGCTCTACGTTAACCTGTCTTCTGAGTTTGCCCCATAGACTAGTCAAATGGATTTGGTTTGCATAATATACATAGATTGAAAAAGTAAGCAAAATTGTACTATTCAGTTCCTGCTGCTACGGCTGTAACATCCATGTACAGTAAATATAGGACTGCTATACAGTATAATACCTGGGCTGCGTATATCAACCCCAACCTGGTGGCACTGGGACTTTCTGCATCTCTGTTGACATCTAGTGATTCTCCAAGGAATTGCAGTCCATATACAACACTGAATTGTGGAGAGAGCACAGCTGCTATATATGTACTGTACAATAGAAGCTCCAATCCAGATTGTGCGCTAGGATAAATACTATGAACTTTTCCTGATGATTTTTTTTTTCTGAAGCTGAGCTCACGGAGGGATGCATTGCAGTAGAATGATTCCATTCTCACTTGCAGGGTCTGGCCAAGTACTTTTCTTAGGTATATACATATACATTGGATAAGCATATGCATATACATGAGTAATAATTGCAAGAAAGTAATAGGATGTAGAATTTTTTTTAAAAAGGAAAATAAAGGCAACTTCCAGTCTTAACAGCAGTTACACCACCACCACCACCCCAGGTTGAAATATAATTTCCTTCTTTCCATAGTCTACCCTTTCTAATAATCAAATCCATAAATCACAAGCTGATTCTTTGTTTTGTTTTTTCAGAAAAGACCCATAAGGGTTTCCCAGTCACTAATAAATATAGTTATTATCTTTTTGCTAATCAAGTCAATTTTACCATCTGTCACTTCTAATTCTGTCACCTTCACCAGCCATTCCTCCTTTGTGGGTATTTCAGAATGTTTCCATTTTTGTGCATATAATAACCTCCTAACAATTATCATATATAAAACCATTTTCCCACAACTCTTTGCTAATTGTCTATCCTCCCTGATTTTAAATATTTGTTTCAGCTTGTTAATGAGTTTCTATCTTGGCTTGTAGTAGTTATGTTATTTTCATATTTTACAAAAGGAGGTCATTAAGAAACCTATCTGGGATATAAAAAGTAGAGGCCGAGAATAAGAAAAGGAGGATTATTGGATTTGTTCAGTCACAAAATCTATTAGCATTAACTTGGGTAACCCTCTGTCACTTAGTTAATCTTGCTGTTGAATCAAGAACAAAACCAACACTTGATATGTCTAAAAGTACTGAATAATTTTCTAGCAGCAATCAATAGTAATTTATAATCATTCGTCACCTATTGTAACTGAAGTGTATGCGAGGCTAACTTCATTTCAAAATTAATGGATCTTGAAACCACGGAATATTAATTCTAAGCTTTTAATAACCCACGGGGAGTCACTATGATTGCTCTCTTTCAAGGAAAAGGCATGTATGTGGAAATCAGCGTTCTCAGGATGCAAAAGGACATACAGTAAGTATAAGCTTGCATAATGTAATCTCAGTTGTGAGTGATTTTCTTTCCTTTAGGACAGTGTCTCCAACAAGGGAATTACAGTACATCACCCAATGAATTATGAGAGTTCTTGGCCAGCACATGTAGAGAGGGGCATTTTACCCTTTAGTTCAGTAATAATGGTGCTGGTTCCCTATTTGTATAATGCTGGGTGCTGGATGCAAACTTAATGCTAAGATGCAAACTTAAGAGCAGTTGCCTGTAAGTACCAGTAGTCTTCCAATTGGCGCCTAATGGGAGGAGACCAGTGACGTGAATTGAGCTTTACGGTTGGTGAGGCAAGAGTGCAGCGGCGGCGAGAAGCAGCGTCCCCACAGCTGTCCCCAACAGAAGCATCTCACATTTATGTCCGCCATAGATGCGAGATGCCTCTGTTGGACACAGCGGCAGGGATGGAGGAGGCGAGGCAGAGCACGGCTGCAGCAAGAAGCAGCGACCCTGCAGCTGTCCCCGACAAAGGCGTCTCACATTTATGTCCGCCATAGACACGAGATGCCTCTGTTGGACACAGTGGCGGGGACAGAGGAGGCGGGGGGCAAGGCAGCAGCCGGAGAAGAAAGAGGAGAGGAGGAGGAGGAAAGAGAGATGGGAGCAGGACGGGGCTCCCGGTGGGGGGGAGAGGAGAAAGGGAAGGGGGGCACAGCAGGCAAAGGAAAGAAAGCACCAGCCCACCAGCAGAGGTGGGTAAAAGACCCGCCTCTGCTGGCGGACTGCCCCTCTCTTCTCAAACAAGTCTGCCCTCCCTGCCTCTCCCCCTTCCCTCTCTTCTCACATATGTGCAGCGGCCAATCACTCTCTTCCGGGTTCCGCCATGCACATGCACGCCGGCTAGCTGGTCTTCATGCATGTGCGCAATGGAACCCAGAAGCGAGCAGCTGGCCAAGCCTGCATGTGTGCTGGACTAGCTAGTTGGTACGCATGCGCGCAACAGAACCCAGAAGTGCAGCTGGTGATGGTGCACGTGCCCACAGAGAGGGCTCTGTGTGCCACCTCTGGCATGCATGCCATAGATTCGCCATCACGGCCTTAAACTAAAGAAATGGAAGACATTTTTTGGTTATTGGAAAATATATATTCATCATATTTAGCTTTACCTCATTTTTAGGGTGTCACATTTAGATGAATGTAGCTGAAGATAGATTGGATTGTTAATAAACTTTCATCTGTTAAGAAAATGCCTCAGAGGTTTTAGTTAAAATTAATTGAACCAAAAGCAAAAAAGTAAAAGCAAGGTGCCTCACGTGCTTTATTGTCTCAAAGCTCTTGATGAATCATACAATTAAAGTAATAAAGTATATCTCATGTCAAA